TTTCCATATCCCTTGACGAGTGGACGGAGCGATTGTTGGAGGGACCGTCTACGAAACTCTAGAGTCTTGATGCTGAAGGTAACATCAATCGGCTAAGTGACAAATTTTATATTTGTATTATCATATATATATATATATATATATATATATATATATCACGAAGATTTTTTTTTTTCTAATGTGGCTAAATTTCTAATCCCAAAACTGCAGTGTGTAGAAATGTATATTTTCCTTCCTTCTCTCTTTCACTAAGATGTTTTCAGTATCATTTTTGCCCATCCTTGCCGACCGTGAAAAAAAGCCCAATTATTGAACTTACTCCAGCTGCAAACAAGAGACTCTCTCAAAGCTTCCATCTTATGGATCCGGCCACCATGTCTTATCGCTGTCTCATCACGCTAAAGAGCGTCTAACAGGGGAGGTAAGTAGCCTTTATCGCAAGCAGACTTTCCTCTGTTCTTTGAAGACCGCCCAAGAATGGAACATTCTTCATCTTCTTCTTTTTTTCTGCCTGCAAATGAGTTCGTAAGGAGATATGCACAAATAGATAATAGGCAAATAACAAGAAAAACGGAAAATCGGTTTTAAACAACTAATCTCATTGAAGTAGAAAAAAAAGAGGCTTAAGTCAAAAACCGGAAAGAAAAGGAGAAAGAAAGAGAAATGAGACGGACGAAGTCCAGCGATAAAATTCCAGAAGAAAAAAACGTTTTAGAGAAGATTAAACAGGAAATGTGAAAAGAAAGAAAGAAAGAAAGAAAGAAAGAAAGAAAGAAAGAAAGAAAGAAAGAAAGAAAATGGGCAAAACCAAATTCTGAAAGAAAAAAGGAAAGGAGAAAGAAAGTACGAAACAAGAATATGCTAAAAGAAAGAAAGAGAGAATGAAAGAAAATGCTAAAAAACAAGGAAGGAAGAAAATGCGAAAAATGAAATTGCTAAAAAAAAGAAAGAGAAAAAGACAGAAAAATACGAAAATTTACTAAAAGAAATGAAAGAAGAAAGAAAGAATAAAAGCACCAGTAGAAAGAAAGAAAGAAAGAAAGACAGACAGACAGACAGACAGACAGACAGAAAGAAAGAAAGAAAGAAAGAAAGAAAGAAAGAAAGAAAATGGGAAAACCCAAATTCTAAAAGAACAAAATGGAGAATTCAAGGAAAAATATGCGAGAAAAAAAATTCTTCAAAAAAAGAAAGGAAAGAAGAAAACGCGAAAAAAGAAAATGCTAAAAGAAAAAGGGGAAAAAAAGGAAAATGAAAAAATACTAAAAGGAAGGAAGGAAAATGCGAAAAAAGAAAGAAAGAAAGAAAGCATGAAAATAGAACATACTAAAAGAAAGAAAGGGAGAAAACGAAAAGGCATAAAAGAAAGATGTGTAAGAATTAACAGAAAGAAAGAAAGAAAGAAAGAAAGAAAGAAAGAAAGAAAGAAAGAAACAGCATAAGTAATGAATATCAAAAGAAAGACTAAGCAAAGGACAAAAGAAAATGCTGAAAGAAAAATGGGGAAAAAGAAAAAGAAAATTAAAAAAATACTAAAAGAAAGAAAGAAAGAAAGAAAAAAAGAAAGAGAGAAAGAAAGAAGGAAAGAAAGGAAATGGAATATACTAAAAGAAAGAAAGGAAGAAAAAGAAAAGGCATAAAAGAAAGATGTGTAAGATTTAACAGCAAGAAAGAAAGAAAGAAAGAAAGAAAGAAAGAAAGAAAGAAAAACAGAAAGAAAGAAACAGCATAAGTTATGAATGTCAAAAGACATAGCAAAGGACAAATGAAAAAAATGAGAAAGAAAGAGAAAAAGCAAAAACAAAAAAAAAATGAAGATAAAAAGTTAGATCAAGGTAGGGAAGAACTAAGAATATTGAACAACTTCTCCAACTCGTATTACAATGAAATTCTTAACTTTTTGGCAAAAAAATACATAGAATGAGTTTGGAAAATTGGAGGAAATATCTATTTCAGTTTTTAGATTCCTCTTCTGTAACGAAAAAGAGACCAGGAAAAAAAAATCACGAAATGAGTTTATTTCACTTAGATTAAAATATGTCATTGTCTATGCTTGTAAAATAAATATCTTTTGGTACTGTAATGCAAAACAGAACGGTTTTTGTTTTATATCTGTCTACATTTCTGAGATGAGGTATTATGTACACTATTTACATTATTCGGACAATTGTCCTCATCTTTGTCGCCATATTTATTACAAAGTTTCGGCCTTTCAGTATCTGTCTACATTTCTGAGATGAGGTATTATGTACACTATTTACATTATTCGGACTATTGTCCTCATCTTTGTCGCCATATTTATTACAAAGTTTCGGCCTTTCAGTATCTGTCTACATTTCTGAGATTAGGTATTATGTACACTATTTACATTATTCGGACAATTGTCCTCATCTTTGTCGCCATATTTATTACAAAGTTTCGGCCTTTCAGTATCTGTCTACATTTCTGAGATTAGGTATTATGTACATTATTTACATTATTCGGACAATTGTCCTCATCTTTGTCGCCATATTTATCGCAGCGTTTCGGCCTTTCAGTATCTGTCTACATTTCTGAGATGAGGTATTATGTACATTATTTACATTATTCGGACAATTGTCCTCATCTTTGTCGCCATATTTATCGCAGCGTTTCGGCCTTTCAGTATCTGTCTACATTTCTGAGATGAGGTATTATGTACATTATTTACATTATTCGGACAATTGTCCTCATCTTTGTCGCCATATTTATCGCAGCGTTTCGGCCTTTCAGTATCTGTCTACATTTCTGAGATGAGGTATTATGTACATTATTTACATTATTCGGACAATTGTCCTCATCTTTGTCGCCATATTTATCGCAGCGTTTCGGCCTTTCAGTATCTGTCGACATTTCTGAGATGAGGTATTATGTACATTATTTACATTATTCGGACAATTGTCCTCATCTTTGTCGCCATATTTATCGCTGCGTTTCGGCCTTTCAGTATCTGTCTATATTTCTGAGATGAGGTATTATGTACACTATTTACATTACTCGGACTATTCTCCTCATCTTTGTTGCCATATTTATTACAACGTTTCGGTTGTACGTTCCGTCCTTTATCCACTGTCCCCAAGGACACATGTCACAGTGGATAAAGGCGTTGGTTAGATCCAGTGACAGGACCCAATGAGTATGAGTTCAATACCCGGTTAAGGCAGTGGAGAACTTTCAGAGGGAAAATCAACAGGAGATAACTGATAACTGACATCCATTAAACATGGCACGTGGAACTAGAACAGTCTACCCCAGTGAGCGAAATAAAGGGTTCAGTTCGACATTCCAACAACCTGAAGAAGGCCGGAGCGTACAACGGCCAAAAAGTTGTAATAAATATGGCGACAAAGATGAGGACAATAGTCCGAATAATGTAAATAATGAAGGTTTTTTTTTTTTTTTTTTTTGTGTATTTGTTTTTTTCATGGGTGGGGGTAATCGGTATCACCCCATGCAATGCAGTAAAGCCACTAAGACACAAGTGGTTACTGAGTGTGGAAGATTTAAGAACAAAAACATTAATAATAAGCAGAAAGAGAGAAAATTAATCAGGAGGAGAGTAGTGACATTTAAATTCAAATTTTGCATTTAATCACAGTTGACATCATATAATTAATTTTTATTTATATTATTTGCATTCAGACTAATGCGAGAAAAAAACTTATTATCATTTGAACTTCATATCCTTCGATTTAGCTCAACAGTAAAACTGATTCGAGATCTTGCTGTCCGTATGATATTGCGCTTCAATCCCTGTGTTTAGGTACCATACAGAAAAGCTCATTCTATATAAACATCATGAAATTTTTTATAGTAAAAAAACACAGAGAGACAACATATCCCGGTGAAAAGTGACTAAAGGTGTTCAGTTCAGGATTTCCTCAATAATATTGCTGATTCTTTTTTAATTTTATCAAGGAAAATAACAATAAAGTAGGGGTTATCAGACCATATATGGCAGCAATATTCTAAATATGTAAACTTGTCATTTCAGCTTTCCGATATGTTTCCTGTTTTGGATTGAGTTTCGGTTTTACAGGCTAAAGTCTATCAAACATGCTGTTCATAATTCTAAAATCCCCGCCTAAATCTCTGAACTTTTATTTACTATTGAATTCTTTTCTCTAGATGAGGAGATAGGTTTGTTCATCGTTTGGTTATTCCCCACTGGTCTTTTGAACAGGAGCAATCTTTATCTGTTGTTTCCTGTTTTGGATTGAAAAAGTTCCAAAAGGAAAGCCGAAAAAAAAAAAATGAGGAAATAATTGTAATCAAAGAAGAGAATGTAAAAAATAACAAATGCATTTTGACTAAACCCAAAAGCGAGGTTCGGCCAAGTTTTTTATAGTCGAGTAGTTCGATGAGGAGACAACCATGGTTGCTTTCATCAAAGGTACAGACATCATATAATTAATTTTTATTTATATTATTTGCATTCAGACTAATGTCCTCATCTTTGTTGTTATTATCACATTTGGGCCGTCATATCCTTCGATTTACTCCAGGACAACAGGCAAGAACTGCTTCGTGAATTTGATGACGTATTAATTGTGAGTTCAATCCCTGTGTTTAGTAGTACAGCCCTACATTCTATAGAAACAGAGTGAGCTGAAGCTGGGTAGTACTAAACAAGAATGAGACGACATATCCCTTGATTAAATAAAGGGTTCAGTTCGGGATTTCCTGAAGAAGGTAGAAAGAGATTCAGTTGAAAAGTTGTGAAAATAACAATAAAGAAGGGATTATTGGTCTGAATGTAACTAATCTAAATAAGTATAAATTCTCATTTCAGAATTTCCGATATGTCACCTTTTGTTGGGTTGTTTAATGGCTTTGTACGAGGCACCTAGTGAGGATCAAACATGCTGTTCAGTAATAATGGTCAGTCAACTAAACTTCGCTAACCATTACTCAACGAAGATTCGATCCGCCTTCAGATGTGCCTGTTTTGGTCGTAAGTCATTTATTCCAACTGATTCTTTCTAAAAAGAGAATCTCAATAATGTTTCGAATATGAAAAGGAAAAATACCAAAAAGGAAAGAAAACGAAAAAAGAAAAAATGAGGAAATAGCAATCGAAAGAAAAAGAATACGAAAAATAAGAAAAGAAAGAAAGAAAACAGGAGAAAGGAAGAAAGAAGAAAAAACACGAGAAGAAAGAAAGAAAGAAAGGAAACAAGAAGAAAAACAAAAGAAAGAAAGAAAGAAAAAAAACAAAGAAAGAAAGAAAGAAAGAAAAAGAAAACAAGAAAGAAAGAAAGGAGAAAAACACTAAAAGAAAGAAAGAAAGAAAGAAAACAGGAGAAAGGAAGAAAGAAGAAAAACACGAGAAGAAAGAAAGGAAACAGGAGACAAGAAGAAAGAACAAAAGCAGGATTAGAAAGAAAGAAAGAAAGAAAGAAAGAAAGAAAGAAAGAAAGAAAGAAAGAAAGAAAGAACAAACACAGGAGAAATGAAGAAAGAAGAAAAACACCAGAAGAAAGAAAGGAAACAGGAGACAAGAAGAAAGAACAAAAGCGCCAGTAAAAGAAAAAAAAGAAAGAAAAAGAAAGAAAGAAAGAAAGAAAAAAAAAGAAAAGAAAAGAACAAACACAGGAAAATGAAGAAAGAAGAAAAACACTAGAGAAGAAAAGAAAGGAAACAGGAGACAAGAAGAAAGAAAACAAAACAGGAGACAAGAAGAAAAGAAAAGAAAAAGAAAGATTAGAAAGAAAAGAAAGAAAAAAAGAAAGAAAGAAAGAAAGAAAGAAAGAAAGAAAGAAAGAAAGAAAGAAAGAAAAACACGAGAAGAAAGAAAGAAAGAAAGAAAGAAAGAACGGACGAACACAGGAGAAATGAAGAAAGAAGAAAAACACCAGAAGAAAGAAAGAAAGGAAACAGGAGACAAGAAGAAAGAACAAAAGCGCCAGTAGAAAGAAAGAAAGAAAGAAAGAAAGAAAGAAAGAAAGAAAAAAGAAAAAAAGAAAGAAACAGAAAATGTGAAAAGTAACATAAAAGATAATAGTAATACGAAAAGAGAAAAATACGAATAAAGAATGGAAATACAAAGAATGAAGAAAATACAAAAAGAAAAAGAAATAGGGAAAATGATTAAAAATACGAAAAAGGTGGAAAGAAAATACGAAGAACATGCAAAATAAAAGAAAGAAAGAAACACCACAAAAGAATGAAAATATAAAACTCAAAATAAGAAAAAGACTGAAAAAATACAAAAAGAAATTAAAAAGAACGAAAGAAAATACGAAAATGGAAGAAATACTATAATATGATTTTGAGAGAAAAAAGGAAGAAAGAAAATACAAAACTGAAGAAAATAAAGATATACGACAAATGAATGAAAATAGGAAAAAAGAAAGAAAGAAAAAATGAAAAAGAAAGAAAGAAAATAAGAGAAAAGAAGGAAAATATACTGAAAAGAAAAAAATACTAAAATATATTTTTGAAAGAAAAAAAGAAAGAAAGAAAATAAAAAACTGAAGAAAAAGAATAAAAATATGAGACAAAGAAAAAAAAAATAGGAAAAAGAGAAAAAAAGAAAATACGAAAAAAGAAAGAAAGAAAATACGAAAAAGAAAGATCATTTATTTTTGAAAAAAAAGAAAGAAAATAAAAAATTGAAGAATATAAAGAAAGATATACAACAAAGGAAAGAAAATACGAAAAAGAAGAAAAGGAAATAGGAAAACTGAAAGAAAGAAAATAGGAAAAACAAAGAACAAATAGAAAAAACAAAGAAAGAAACTAAGAAATAAGGAAAATAGGAAAAAAGAAAGAAAATAAGAAAAAAGGAAAAATGGACAATAGAAACAAAGAAATGAAATAGGAAAAAGAAAGAAAGAAATACGATAATATAATTTTGAATAAAAAAAAGAAAGAAAATAAAAAACTGAAGAAAATAAAGAAAGATATACGACAAAGGAAAGAAAATAGGAAAAAAGAAAGAGAAGAAAATAGGAAAAAGGAAGAACGAAAATAGGAAAAAAGAAAGAAAATAGGAAAAAGAAAAAAAGAAATGCGACAATATAATTTTGAAAAAAAAAGCAAGAAAGAAATTAAAAATCTGTAGAAAATAAAGAAAGATATACAACAAAAGAAACAAAATTGAAAAAAAGAAAGAAAATACGAAAAAGAAAGAAAGAAATACGGTAATATAATTTTGTTAAAAAAATAGAAAGAAAAGAAAAAACTGAAAAAAATAAAGCAAGATATACGACAAAGGAAAAAAAAGAAAAAATAGAAAGAAAAAAGAAATAAAGAAAATACGAAAAGAAAGAAAGAAATACGACAAAAAATGAAAAGAAGAAAAAAGAAAGAAATCCGAAAAAAAAAAGAAAATACACAAAAAATCAAGAAACTTCAAAAAGAAAAAAGAACGCACGGAAAAATCTGAGAAATCGAAAAAAACAAAATTAAATTCCATTCATTTTGATTTCTAAAGACTTTCCCTAAATAACTGAACAATATTTCTACCAATAAACGGCATTTTTAAGCACGTCCTACAACTGATATATCAGCATCTTAACCTACACATGGATATAATTTTTAACGCTTAGTTACGGTGTCTTCATTTTGATACAATACACAGGCTGCGATGGTTAAATTATCGCCATTTTATATTTTTAATTTCGCGCATGCGCGTTGTTTATTTTTGATTTTATCCATTGCACAGTATACTGCGGTCAGTTGGGAACCGTCTGTGAGAAAAACGAGCGTCATGATGCAATTCACTCCACCAGAAATTTGGAAACGGCATGCTGTACTGGTTGGCATTCGAACCGGAATCTACAATACGAACATTTCAGTGTGTTTGAGTATCAAACAGTGTAGCAGATTCAGAAAGAGTTGGATGAGTCTAATGGCGATTACGAAGATACGGCAGCTCGGAAAGCTCACTCTGATCGTTCTGATAAGAAAAGAACTCCCGAATTTCTTGGTGCACGCCCCAGACTCAACACGGAGGCCTACAACAGATGCCTTTAGGAGGTACTACTGCTCTGGGTCAGGAAGGTGGTTGATAGAAGACTATGTCTGGCAACAGGAATCTGCACCTTGCCATCCAAGCAGGAGAACCCAGTCATGCCTGTCAGATAATTTCTGCGACCACATCACCCCTTATCTCTGTCCACCTAACTCCCCAAACAGAAGCCCCTTGAATGTGCGGGGCGCAGTTGAGCAAGCGACCAACAAAATTCCTTATAATACTAAAAATGAACTGAAAGCAACGATTATGGTAGCATTCACCAACTTAAGCAAGGGTTACCGTCCAGAAGAGTTGCAGGAGATTCCGAAGTCGTCTTGAGGTCGTCTTTGAAGCCAATGGCAATTTTATAGAATAAATTTAGTCTTTCCTATTCCAAGATATTTTTAGTTAATTTTGGTAAATATATCTGTTAAAATAAAATTTCAATGTTATTTTCAAGTTTCCTTAAATAGACGACGATTTATCCATTGCAGCCTGTACATCAAGAATAATCGATTTTCACGCACGGATTTTTCATTGGAAGCATGGATTTGCGGTTGGATAATTTCAGAAAAATATGAAGAACGCTTTAGAACCCGAACATAAGTAAGAAAGAAGTTAATAAGCATTTCCATAATTACAATATCGTTTTTTTTTATTCTTCAATGTAAAAAGATTTTAAAACCGTGGGAGTTTTTTTTTTTCTTTTTATTGCAATGATCTTGATTTTTCTGTAAACAAAAATCTGTGTTTCAATGTTTTAGGGTCCCTGCAGTCAAATTACTATCATACAAAGGCATTTAAAAATAATTTATTTATTTTCTGTATTTAAGTGTAATTTTCTGTTAACGTTCTCCAAAAGAAGAAAAACGTGTGTGATTATGTACATTATTTACATTACTCGGACTATTGTCCTCATCTTTGTCGCCATATTTATTACAACGTTTCGGCCTTTCAGTATCTGTCGATATTTCTGAGATGATGTATTGTATACATTATTTATATTATTCGGACTATTGTCCTGATCTTTGTTGCCATATTTATTACAACATTTCGGCCTTTCATTATCTGTCTATATTTCTGAGATGAGGTATTATGTACATTATTTACATTACTCGGACTATTGTCCTGATCTTTGTCGCCATATTTATTACAACATTTCGACCTTTCATTATCTGTCTATATTTCTGAGATGAGGTATTATGTACACTATTTCCATTATTCGGACTATTGTCCTCATCTTTGTCGCCATATTTATTACAATGTCTCCGGCCTTCTTCAGGTGGTTGGAAGGTCGAACTGAACCCTTTATTTCGCTTACTGGGGTAGACCGTTCTATTTCCACGTGCCATGTTTAATGGATGTCACTTATCAGTTATCAGTTATCTCCTGTTAATTTTCCCTCTGAAAGTTCTCCACTGCCTTAACCGGGTATTGAACTCACACTCTTTGGGTCCTGTCACTGGATCTAACTAACGCCTTTATCCACTTTGCCATGTGTCCTTGACAGGACCCAATAAGTGTGAGTTCAATACCCGGTTAAGTCAGTAGAGAACTTTCAGGGAGAAATTAACAGGAGATAATGGCAATCTACAGCGGGGAAAATCATCCTCGTCAGTCACGTATCAAAAGATACATGATCGCCTATATGTGTACATAACTGAGTGGATAGCGGCTCGGATTGAGGAATCGGAGTTCGAATTCCAGTCAAATCCATTACATTCATTTAAATGCTAATACCCTTGGGAAAGGTATGAATCCTCTTCTTCTCCCTCCAGCTATGGCTAAATAGCAGGACAGACTGGGTTCTCTAACCTTGGATAGCAACTGGTCTACTGCAGAAAGAAATGACAACCTACTGCGGGAAAAATCTGCCTCGTCAGTTCTGTATTGAAAGATACATGATCGCCTAAGCGTGTATCACGCATGGCACATAAATGACAATAATAATTGACTTGAAGTTTAGTTTAGTTTAGTTTAGTGTTCAGGGAAGTATCCGCGCCAAGAGTCTGTTCTACAAATTAGTAGTTATTGGGATAAACCCGGAACTTGTTATATTTGGAATCCGAAGGAAATGATGGTGATTCGGCTCCGTGGAAGTGTCCTAGTAGTAAATATATAAGTTGAATAGTAAAAATAAAATAAAAAATGACTCTTATAAATATGATCAAATTTTGAGTGATCGTCAATAAATTTGATAATTTTTCATGCTCATCATCTTCTGCCCGAGTTAGCTTAGGCAACCATGACAGGTACAGGCCATCCGTCACCGTTGTGCATTAAATCCGACGGGTCATCCGAAAAGCATCCATTATCTGAGAATTGTTGGGCGATATATATGAATATAACAAACCTATTTGAAATTGGTAGCTGCTTAACTTCGATGAATGTACGAGAATCGGCGTTTCAACGTGATATGGCCGTAATCCTTCATAATGATGAAAGGGGTCCTGTAGAATTGGAGATATTGAAGGACCAGCCCTCCATTTACATAATTTCGATAAATTACCCGCTGTTTTTCTCTAGTCCTTCAATATCTCCAATTCTACAGGACCCCTTTCATCATTATGAAGGATTACGGCCATATCACGAATGCCGCGTACCAATTGAAGAACCATAGGAAAACAGCGGGTAATTTATCGAAATTGTGTAAATGGAGGGCTGTACAGAAACGGTGAGGGATAGTAAGAGGAAAACATTGCTCAGAGCTATAAGGGATGGAACGTTGTGGAGAGCCATCATCGCTTACGTCCTGAAGGGACACGATACTCAAAAAGAAGTTTCAAGAAATATATCTATCAGTCTACCCATTCGTCCAGGCTTAGAATATTGCTGCCACATATGGCCCGATACCCCTGTTATTTACCTTCAGCTCCTTGATAAGATCCAAAGAAGAATCAGCAATATTATTGGTCTTGATCTGGCGGCTCGGTTTCGCTGTAGGTTGCCATTTCTTTCTGCGGTAGACCAGTTGTCATCCAAGGTTACAGAACCCAGTCTATCCTGCTATTTACAGATAGCTGGAGGGAGAAAAGGATTCATACCTTTCCCAAGGGTCAGTCAGTGATGTGCCATGCGTGATACACGGTTAGGCGGTCATGTATCTTTCGATACAGAACTGACGCGGATGATTTTCTTCCAGCAGTAGGTTACCATTTCTTCCTGCGGTAGACCAGTTGCTATCCAAGGCTATAGAACCCGGTCTGTCCTGCTATTTACCCATAGCTGGAGGGAGAAGAAAAGGATTGATACCCTTCCCAAGGGTCAGTCATTTATGTGCCATGCATGATACACGCTTAGGCGATCATGTATCTTTCGATACATGATTGTCGAGACAGATTTTTTTTCCCAGCAGTAGGTGACCATTTCTTTATGCGGTAGACCAGTTGCCATCCAATTCTATAAAACCGGTCTGTCATGTTATTTACCCATAGCTGGGGGGAAGAGAATAGGATCCATACCTTTTCCAAGGGTATTAGCACGTAAGTGAATGTAATGCCTCCTACAACCAATTATTATTGCCTATCCTTTTCTCATAATGTTTATGTTCTGTTGTAAATAGGAAATGCTGACATATATATATATATATATATATATATATATATATATATATATATATATATATATATATAAAAAAATAAGTAGTTTATTCCGGGAATAATACAGTACACAGTTGAGACTAATGCAATAAACTGTTAATTGTTAACCCCTCGCTATTTACCGAGATCTCCCCACAAGGCAAGTTTTTAAGCTTTCTGACCGCGTACGCTCGGGATAAAATTCCCCATACACGGGGTCGGATGGCTGTCTACCTCTTCAGAAGCATAGCCGAGAAGCATAGCCTCCTCTGAATTCCTCTCCACCCGAGAGCCGAGAGTCAATAAGCAGAGTTAAATGTTGTCGTTAACTTCACCGTATTTACCTGAGACCTCCCCACAAGACGGGATGTGGCACAAAGTCGGTTTTTAACGTGGGGCGTTCCGAGCGCGTACGTTCGGGCAAAAATTCCTCGTAGATCCCACATAAACGGGGTCGGGTGGCTGTCTACCTCCCGAGACGAGACTCTGCCCGTAGTCATAGCCTCGGGCAGAGAGGTCGACTAGCAGAGTTTTAACAAAATCTAATCGCTAACTACTCGGTATTTACACAAGACCTCCCCACAAGGCGGTATGTGGCACAAGCCCGGTTTTTTAGGTGAGGGGTTCCGAGCCCATAGGCCCAGGCAAAAATTGCCCGTAGATCACGTATACACGGGTTCGGGTAGCTGTCTACCTCTCCAGACGAAACTCTGCCCGTAGGCATAACCTAGTCTGGGTTCTTCTCTTCCCGGAGACAGGGAGTCAACAAGCAGAGTAAATCGTTAACTGCTCTCTCTCTCTCTCTCTCTCTATCTCTCTCTCTATCTCATTAAAAGGGAAAGAGAGAACTGTTAAGAACTATTCTTAGACCAGTCCATATTGTGGTGGTGTTCAGCTACTCCACAACAGTTTAATTCCTTCGTGTTATTTTCCACCCTACAGCCACTTTCCTACTGAGGAAACGCTGCAAGCCTCTCCTGCTCTAACGTTATTTCCATGGAAAGTGTTCAGACGAACATTACTTAGTTCCACCAGTTCTAAACTTCACGGCTAAGACCCACAATACTATGCACATTGTAGCGAACCACCATCATTACCTTCGTTCTCCATTGGTGAGATGTAAGTGCCACTCGAGCAGCTTCATCCCACGAATCACTGCTTTGTGAAACCGATTCCCAGGAGGATGCTTTCCTTATCACTACGATCTTAACCTCTTCAAGTATAACGTTAAACAATATATTCATCACAAATTCCTATGAATTGTTCCTCTTACTTTGTAACCCTCTAGTTCGAGTGACTCTTAGGCCTTATACAGGTAAACATTATTGTAAAAAAAGAAAAAATCTTTCTTTTATATCGCACTCTTTCATCATAATCATTTTAACAGTAATCCTCTAACTTAAGTAAGTCACAAGCCTTATATTCAATGAATTCTAATATTAAAAAAGTCCGACTCATGCATGATAATTATCGGAGAGTGATTTGCTTAAATGTTCATTTTCTATGCGATCGTGATTTGCTACTGACGAGGCTTTGTTTCGATTAAGTTTTAATAGGACAGTGCGTCGGGGTTTAGTTATTAATTTATTTGTATTTTTTACGACTTATCAACCCTTTGCGAGTTATTTAAAGCTGAAATATATTTTAGATTGTAAGAATAGTCTTTTTTGTGAGTGAATATTGCATTAACAATTTTGGGGGAGATGGGGAAATAACAATGATTTATCCAGTTGTTCACAGGGAGAATTGGTTTCATGCCTTTTCCAAGAACATGTCTTCAGAGAAAATCCGAAATTAGAACCGTGATTCTGTTTTCCGAAATAATAATAATAATAATAATGACAAACAGAAACAGCTTATACACACTTGTCAACCTTGACAGAGGGGTGGGTGTGTCAATAAAATGAGTACCATATATGTGGACGCACAGACATCTGTTCAGACGATGTCTGATTCTAACATCTTTGAAATTGGCACAGACTGGATTTTCAAATCTAGTCTTATCGGCCATTTTATATTCATTTGTTGAACCAGTGACGTGTTACTTTTTT